AATTGTAATTTATAAACAAGTTTTGTCGAGGTTTTTAAAATTCTATAAGCCCCAGTCCGAATTTGTACAATGGTTTGAAATTTCGAATCACTTTTCGAACATGACTGAAAATGTATTACTTGGCTGTATCTACATTCCTCCAGAACTTTTACTGAAATAGAGGAAGAGTTAATTAATGTTTCACAAGGAAAGGATAATGTTATCCTGGCAGGTGATTTTAACGCAAGAACCTCGACAATACCGGACTATATCTAACCTGATGAAAGACTACTAGGTATATCAAATGTTGTAGATAAGAATGAAGATATTGACAATATGAACTGTGTACGTCAACTTATTGAGCAAAATATCCCCCCTTCAAAGATATAGTCACAATAAAGCCAGACAATAAGATATGGAAACTGCTAATTGAAGTATGTAAGAGATCATCTCTTTTTATTGCAAATGGTCGAATATGTAAAGATAAACACATAGGATGAACGACATGTAAAGATACAAGTGTAGTAGATTATCTTATAGTAGATAGTTCAGCTTTTAAACTTGTTTCAGAATTCGTAATATGTTATTTTAATCCAACGTTTTCGGACGTTCACAATCAAATCCACTTCGTGTTGAACTTAACATGCGATACCCAACCCCCATTACAGAAGACAGAGGATAACTCTGATAATAACCGTGTCACATGGGACACATCTAAAAATGACGTATTCACACAGGCACTTAATATAGATGTAAAGCTTGAACTCCGCGATATAAGCACTGCTATAGACCAAATGAATGATCGTGATTATGTAAACTGTGAACAAATCAACGCGGTGGTTAATGACCTTGGTCAATTTCTTATTAAAACGGCATCTTAAGTGTGTGGAACACAACAAAAAAGACGTAAAGGAAAAGTAGATATGAATAAACCGTGGTTCGATAAATATTGTAAGTTAAAAAGAATTGCCTTCAACAAGATCAAGAATAAATATAAAACAGACAAGTCATGGACTACTAAAACAAATATGAACAAATAAGTAGTGAGTACAGGAAACAACTTCGAATAAGTTATAAAAAATATCAAGAAAGATGCATTAAAGAGCTTCGCTCGTTATCTAAATGCACCTCATGTCTGAGTGTTGGAAATAAAATCTGAAATCTAGGTTTAAGGTGATAAAGAACGAAATCGAACAAATTTAAGGAGGCTCCATCCTTTCGCAATTAGCCAGCAGAATTCAATGAAATTTTCACATAATGGTTATGTCACTATGTAGAGATGATTTTATGAAAATCAAAGCATTCCGATAAACTCGGGATTTTTTTGTAAAAAATACCGATAAATTGAATTTTTGTCAAATTCAACACTTTCACATATTTTGAGCGTGTTGCATTGTTCAAAACTATTACAACAATAAAATAATGAAAATGAACATTGCTAATCAACCCTACAAATAGTTTATTTATCATAAAATATCTACAACATGTTACAAAAAGCGTTTTTTGTTGAAATTGTATGGATAGAAGTTATAAAATACAAGCTAAAAGCAAACAGGACACATAGTTACATACAAAAAGAGTGAAAAATTGAGCCAAATATACACAAAGTCTTTATAGTTAATTTATTTTACATTTTACAATAATTTTGATCCTGATGAGAGTTTACCTTGGAAAAAAAACGGAACTTTTTGCAGAGGGATAGAATTTATATAATGACACTTATTTTCTTTACTATACCAAAAACGACGGAAATAAAATAAATTACTATATTTATTGTCAATTTACTGTTCTTTTATGGAACAAAATTACTCTCAATCATGTACATTTTGGATATCATTCCATAGCCTGCTTACGCATGGTATATTAACATGTCAGGTACATATGTAACCATAGGCTATCGCATGGTATGCCGTTATTACGTACACTCACATACACTTGCATTTTATAGGGATGTTGATATTTTACAAACTACTATTTTCACAGAGTTATTGTTATTGCATTTGTGAACCGATTTATCTGACAGAGCGTAACTCGCTCGACAACATAAGTCGTAGCGACCAAGAGCTTGTGAACTACTGTTAGCACGTGATACGTACAGGTGAAGTGTTTTACCGTGAGTTAATTAATGTCTTTGTATCATAAGCTTTATTTCTGAATCAATCAATCAATCAACTTTATTGCATTTTACATCCAATTTACAAGGATCGAGCTGCAAACATCAAACAAACATTGATACTGTCTAATGGACAGCAAAAACTACATACTTATGCATTCTGCAAGCCTGTCTTCCTCAGTTCAAATGACTTTTTAATAAAGAGGCTTATTTCCTGCAAAAGCTGTGGGTCATTAGATGACAATAATAATAATAAATTTTGTAGATCAGGCAATGATGGGTTAATTTTATTTTTTTGGAGAAACGTAGTCCTGATATTTATATTTATTTTGCATTTAAATATAAAATGTACTTCATCTTCTACAGTATTGCAGAATTTACATAGTCGGGATTGTCGAGGAATCTTTTTAGATCTACCAGCCTCAATTTCTAAATTGTGGTTGCTTAGTCTCAGCTTTGCCATCAATTTTCTATATTCAAAGTTGGGTAACGATAGGTAGTGTTCCTCTGCATACTTTTTTTTAAATTTTACTGTATAGAAATAACTTACTATTTTCGTCCAAACTATGCATTTTTTCAAAAAAGTAAGATTCAAATCGGGTGTTGATATATCATCGTCACGCACGTGTACTATTGTTTACCCGTTGTTACTATAATTTACACTACGGTAATGGAATGTCCGATACGCAATACGGAAATGACGACACGAAAATACGACAAGAAAAACATGTGTATTACGAAGGGTAGGAAGTCCTTAACAACATTCTAACCGGAAAATGGGTTACAGTGTGCGGTCATGCGTAAATAGCAATCGGGACCCGATTGGTGTAAATAGCTCCACAGAAAAAAAATCACAGCCTAGGACTGGTTCGCCGGTTTATCTTTTTTTTGTAGGAGCTTGTATGGCACTGATAATTAATTGAGAGATTATAGGAACAATACGATAATTATTGTTGAGTACGTCGTGTTGAGGAGATGTCAAGTGTCATTGGGGTCTATAAATGTGGATATGTTTCCTGATTAACTCATACCAATTTCGGAATGTCGAAATCAACTGAGCAATCCAACTCCAATACAGTGATTTGTGTAAAGACTTGCGCACTTTGATTTCCGCATTGGAAGAGACGGCATGTACGTTTTATAGTAGACGTTCTTCCTGTTTGTATGTGTGTTTTACTGTAACATTAATTAATTAATTAATATGATTATGAATAAACTGGTTTTTTTTTTTAAATTTTACATCGTTATCTTTTTGTCATTTATCGACTGTTTAAATACGTTGACTGTCCGATAAATCAACGACTTATTTATAACCTCATATTTGACCAAACACTTTACTTAGTTTCATGCAAAACATTGGAACTCGCTTAACTGGAATAACTCGATGTTTCCCAACGATCCCGTCGACTTCGAGATAACGAGGTTCGACTGTATGTAGTTTCTACCTGGTATCATAGAGTTAGTGCGTTATAACATATACTCTATGCACGTATTAAGATAGTTTAGCAGGCAAGCATCTTAAAATCTGCCGTATCTTTTGACTTGTATTCATTTGCAATTACTCCTATAACACTACACGTTATTCACACAAACAAACTTGTTTGATCAAAAAATAAATCAAAGCAAATTATCACATCACTACATACGTAAGTAGATAAAATACGTAAAGTTATGTATAGTACTACACAGCATGTGATCTGAAAGCCACCACGTGCTTCTTTATTTTATTTACCCGTCTTGGCCCTTGTTGTAATAATAGTTATATATTTTAAATGTCACCTGAATGTCAGTAACGACTCAAAACACAGCCTGTTTAGCTCCCCATTACACTAGCTTGGGCGATTGTGTAAGGTGACCTTTCTGTACTTAGTCACAAGAGCACGTTGATTGAATGATATTCAACACTACCTTGTTAATGGCTTACATAGAATAGTATATTGACTTAAATTCGTTTAGCATTGATATTGAAAAAAACACATTTTTCTTAAAAAAACCAACGTTACCGTATACTGCCTCACAAAAGTTGTAGTCCTGTATAGAAAAAGTGATTAGATATATTTTATATTGAGAGACGTCTTTAATCATCAATTGTAAATACGTGTTTACTTGTAATATGGCTGATGTGATAAAGTTACTGAATGGTTTATTGTTTGGGTATGTTGCCTCGGGGATAAAACATGTCAAACTGAAAACGTCAATTCAAAGTCTGTTTGATCACACTGGATTGCTGTACATGTCTGGCAGTCTGGGTTTCGGCTCGGATGCTTTCTGTTTTTTTCCATTGGCGATATGTCCTACACGGCAGAGAACGCCAAAGAGTTAATCCTGATAGGCAAACGTTCTTTGTGAAGTGTTTTTGTATAAAGCATATCACGAGTGCAGTAGCTAATTTTGTTGAGTCAATTGATTTAGTTTTCCGATTTGGATAATAACTATTTTATAAACCGATTAGCGTCCTTCTGAAATTGATATTCATCAAATGTAATTAATTTCATATTGATCCCAATTGAATTTCAAGAGTTAATTAATTGCAATGATTGAAAAATGACACAGAATTGATGAGTCATCAGTAGCTGTACCTGTTGCTTTGCGACGTCAACCGATTTGTGTATTATTTGTACAATATAGAGATTTTAGCGCTCCTATTTCATTTAAACTTTTTATTTTTCAGGAAATACATCAGTGTTTGAGAACCACCATATCACCCAACATGTTTGGTAACGGCCTGGTGAGTTTCCTTGTGGTATTTCTACCAGCCATCTCTGTGGTTAATACCCTCGATCACCACAAACTACTGGACCAGTATATCGGTGTATGTGGTATGAACCTCTGTAATTCTTCAATGTTTGAAATCAAACCGGATCTGGACTACACCTCTAGCTCCAGCTGTCCAGACTGCAAGTGTGACAATGATTGTTGGTTAAATAACAACTGTTGCCCGGACCTGTACTTATCATTTCCGGTCATTAACAAGATCAGAACAAATGTTTACCCGATTACGAATGGCTCTTCAGAAGATAAATACGAAGAGATGATTTCTACATGCCCAGCTGAGCACCATGCTTGTGAAGTGGGACCGACATTATTAGACTTACTTAACAACGTCCCCGTGTTTGCCGGGCCGTATAGTCTACCGTTCCGAAGCGCTTGTTATGCACGGTGTAATGGGTATAACGTTACCAGGAATTGGTACCTAGATATTGACTGTGATACATTTTACGACCTAAACTTTTGTTCTACATTTCTGGAAATTTCAACTGAATTATACAACGCTAAGTGTACCGTCAAGTATTCACAAGACTTTGTAAATGAGAAAATACCTACAACCAATGCTGTTATTAGGACATGTAATGTCACGAGGTTCTGGAACGATTATGACGCTGACGTAGACAAAGTGTGTGCGTATCTAGGACCGGAAATGGGGAGATATTCTCTGACACATTCCAACGTTTTCTGTTATATCTGCAATCCGAGTGAGCCTCTCAAATCAAACGTGATATCAACGTGTAACGTGACGGGGAAATGGAATATTTTAGATCAGGGTCTGAAGGACGCTTGCGAACACTACCCAGTGGCTCACTCTGAGCAACCGTACAAAAACTGGTTCTGTCGAATGTGCAACCAAAATAATTTGGATCCATCTACGATTGCGTTAATGGATGGTAGTATCAAAGTAGAATACAAAACGGTTGCCGACTGGTTTTTTTTACCCTCCCAACAGTATGACGTCATAGTGCAGGAGGCAGATATAGAAAATATTGTAAAAGCATTTAAACAACAAGTTAAATTGGAAAACGTAAAGTTCAAAAGCAAGTTAGAAAGAATCCTAGAGAACGACGGTGAAATAGTTGTAAACGGACACACAGTGAATATCACGAACTTGTTATTTAATGATTATTTGAGGACTGGGTCCTACGATATATGCGCTTCCTCACTCCTAAACGTCATATTTACCCAGAAGTCAAACAACTGCTCATGTGACGTGAGCTGTATATTCAAAGACACGGATGCCTGTTGCCCGGATGTCAGACTCCTAACGGAAACGAAATGTATAGACCAATTTGAGCTTTCAACATTTTCTCCGGAATTAAACCCTAATAAATGGTTAGTTATCAACGAATGCCCGGCAAACTATACAGATGACGTCATAGTATATCTATGTCAGAATGATGACATCGAGGCTGCTTACCAGTTGGTTCCAGTTGAAAGTAAGGTATCCAAGATGGTGTTCAGAAACATATATTGTGCATTTTGTCATTTGAATAAGGACCAGGCCGATTCCTATGACGTGTTTATGACAAAGGTACAGTTTTATACACTGAGGTTAGTGTGCCATTTGCCAATTCCATTTCAAAATGAGATTTCGGTAGAACGGATCATATCTCGGGCCAGAACAGGACAGTGTGTCATCCAATACATTCCGGCAGATATACCGGTTACTTGTGATGAGGATAAAACAAAAGGACAATGCAACAAAGTTAATTTGTGGACAGAGAACGACGCGGATGTCCAGTGGGCTTGCGAGAACACAGATATTTTCCCGCAATATAGAGACCACGAAAACATTTTTTGTGATGTCTGTAATCCTTCAATAAACATGCCGCTCTTCTTCGGTTCGTGTAATATGACTAGAAACTGGCATATTTACAACCCTGAGTTAGAACTGGCGTGTGAGTCGTACCCGGCCATGCAGAAAACGCTACCATACAAAAACGGCTTGTGTGAACGGTGTAATGGTCCCAGATGGTCAAGAACGTTTACAAAGAACTTTTTACCATGGGGGTTTGTGAACGATCTTGCTGATTTAGGTGGCAACACAGACAGCAAAAACACCCTCCGAAGTTTCTTCACTACGTATGACGAGCAGCCCCTTGACGACGTGGTACCAGTGACATGCCAACGCCACCAGATGTATGATATATGGAAGGTTTGTACGCTCCCTCATTTTAAACTACTTTTTGCTTCTTTTTTTTTACTCATTTTACTACCATTTTCACCACTTTTTTCTATTTGATAAACAAGTATTTGTCTTTATTTTTAAGTGTGGACAGATAATTCTGTAAACTACTTATTATATGTGTAACTTGTGTATATGCTTGAATAAACTCGAATCGTACGAATACTGAGCTTATATAGACGTGCTTAACGATAAATCCAATCTGTCAATATAAACGTGACAAATGTGGGAAAACGTGACAAATGTGGGTAAACGTGACAAATGTTGGTATACGTGACAAATGTGGGTATACGTGACAAGTGTGGGTATACGTGACAAATGTGGGTATACGTGACAAGTGTGGCTAAAACTGAAAAATGTAGGTCTACGTGACAAATGTGGGTATACGTGACAAATGTGGGTATACGTGCCAAATGTGAGTATACGTGACAAATGTGGGTATCCGTGACAAATGTGGATATAACTGAAAAATGGGGTTATACTTGAAAATGTGGGTATACGTGAGAAATGTGGGTATACGTGACAAATATGGGTATACGTGACAAATGTGGGGATAACTGACAAATGTGGGTATAACTGGCAAATGCTGGGGTATACGTGAAAATGTGGGTATAACTGACAAATGTGGGTATACGTGACAGATGTGGGTATACGTGACAAATGTGGGTATACGTGAAAATGTGGGTATACGTGAGAAATGTGGGTATAACTGACAACTGTGGATATACGTGACAAATGTGGGTATACGTGAGAAATGTGGGTATACGTGAGAAATGTGGGTATACGTGACAAATGTGGGTGTACGTGACAAATGTGGGTATAACTGGCAAATGCTGGGGTATACGTGAAAATGTGGGTATACGTGACAAATTTGGGTATAACTGTCAAATGTGGGGATACATGACAAATGTTGGTATACGTGACAACTTTGTGTATACGTGACAAATGTGAGTATAACTGACAAATGTGGGTATACGTTAAAGTGTGGGTATACGTGACAAATTTGGGTATAACTGTCAAATGTGGGTATACATGACAAATGTTGGTATACGTGACAAATTTTGGTATACGTGACAAATGTGAGTATAACTGACATATGTGGGTATATGTGACATATGTGGGTATAACTGACAAATGTGGGTGTACGTGAAAATGTGGGTATACGTGACAAATGGGGGTATAACTGACAAATGTCGGTATACGTGAAAATGTGGGTATACGTGACAAATGTGAGTATACGTGACAAATGTGGGTATATGTGACAAATGTGGGTATAACTGACAAATGTGGGTATACGTGAAAGTGTGGGTATACGTGACAAATTTGGGTATAACTGTCAAATGTGGGTATACATGACAAATGTTGGTATACGTGACAACTTTGGGTATACGTGACAAATGTGAGTATAACTGACATATGTGGGTATATGTGACATATGTGGGTATAACTGACAAATGTGGGTATAACTGACAAATGTGGGTATACGTGACAATTGTGGGTATACGTGACAAATGTGGGTATGTGGGTATAACTGGCAAATGTGGGTATAACTGACAACCGTGGGTATACGTGACAAATGTTGGGAATACGTGACAAATGTGGGTACACGGGACAAATGGGGGTATAACTGACAAATGCGGGTATACGTGAGAAATGTGGGGATACGTGACAAATGTGGGAATACGTGGCAAATGTGGGTATACATGACAAATGGGGGTATACATGACAAATGTGGGTATAACTGAAAAATGTGGATATACGTGACAATTGTGGGTAACGTGACAAATGTGGGTATACGTGAAAATGTGGGTATACGTGACAAATGTGGGTATACATGACAAATGTGGGTATACGTGAAAATGTGGGTATAACTGACAAATGTGGGTATAACTGGCAAATGCTGGTATACGTGACAAATGTGGGTATAACTGACAAATGTGGGTATAACTGACAAATGCTGGTATACGTGACAAATGTGGGTATACGTGGCAAATGTGGGTATAACTGACAAATGTGGGTATAACTGACAAATGCTGGTATACGTGACAAATGTGGGTATACGTGGCAAATGTGGGTATACATGACAAATGTGGGTATACGTGAAAATGTGGGTATAACTGACAAATGTGGGTATAACTGACAAATGTTGGTATACGTGGCAAATGTGGGTATACGTGACAACTTTGGGTATACGTGACAAATATGGGTATACGTGACAAATGTGGGTATACATGACAAATGTGGGTATACATGACGAATGTGGGTATACGTGACAAATGTTGGTATACGTGAGAAATGTGGGTATACGTGACAAATGTGGGTATACCTGACAAATGTGGGTATACGTGACAAATGTGGGTATAACTGGCAAATGCTGGTATACGTGACAAATGTGGGTATAACTGACAAATGTTGGTATACGTGGCAAATGTGGGTATAGATGACAAATGTGGGTATACGTTCGTTACGAACTATTGGAGTTTACGTTTTGGGTATAACTGACAAATGTGGGTATAACTGACAAATGTGGGTGTACGTGAAAATGTGGGTATACGTGACAAATGTGGGTATAACTGGCAAATGTGGGTATAACTGACAAATGTGGGTATACATGACCAATGTGGGTATACGTGACAAATGTTGGTATAACTGACAAATGTGGGTATACGTGCCAAATGTGGGTATAGGTGACAAATGTGGGTATACGTGACAAATGTGGGTATAACTGACAAATGTGTGTATACGTGACCAATGTGGGTATACGTGACAAATGTTGGTATACTTGGCAAATGTGGGTATACATGACAAATGTGGGTATACGTTCGTTACGAACTATTGGAGTTTACGTTTTCTGACTAATTCTGATTGTATACAACGTATTAGAAAAAACAAAAACCGCTAAAATAGATACAAGCTGAAAATCGAGGCTACGACTATAGGCAGCACTGGACGTTTACGTATATTAATGCAGTAGGGAAGAGATGAGAAAATAAAACCATGTAAAGGATAGATTAGGGAGGCTACGTGTGTAGGATATTACAACCGTTACACTAAAACAACAAAATGAAATATTTTTTTAATTACATTTTCAAAATCAATCCACAGAAAAAATGTCGGGATGTGAAGTGTAATCCGGGCCGACATCTCTACAACGATACCTGTAAACCCCTCCTACAGACCACCACCAACCTGTCCTACTCCTTATCTCTGGGTCTACAGACTCAAATCAACCAGTCGGGGGTCTACATCACAGAGCTACTGGAGGGAATCCGTATTGACGTACATACTTACCTCAGTCAAACTCTTCACGTCAGCTTCCTAGGCATAACTATATCCTCATTCATGGCTATGTCGCATATCGCGTGTCCCAACCGATCCTCCGTCCTCAAGCACGGGGAGAATCTAGATATCCTTTTGTCTACTCAGTTTGAAATTGACACTGAATTCATAAATCGTTTCGAAGCAGAAAAGAATCTTGTGGAACTTCCCGGTCAAACGATGGATGTTAGGCATTTGAACAAGGTGTTCTCGTTCAAAATGTCTACAGACCCGAAAGCCTTTACTTTGCCGATTCTTATAAGGAAGACCAGTCTCCTTCACAAGTGTTACATAAAACAGACCTCACCGTCTCAGTTCAGCCCTCATCGCTCCTTTAGGAGATCTCAGGTCAGTGAACTTCTGCAATGTAAACAAATATACCTGAACGCGGACGAATATGTGATTGATGAGGACGGAATGACCTTGACCTTTGCCGGAAGTGATGCCGTAGTAAAATATCCAGAGTTTGAATTAATATCAAATGGACAGGTAAGGATATGTGCGAGTGAGTTACCGTCCCCGGCTGCTGAAAACGATCTAGAGAACGCATTACGCATTTTCACGCTGGTATTTGTATGCATGTCACTAGTCTGCCTCCTGATTACGTTCGTCCCTTACATCAAGTTCGATTACCTCAGAACTCTACCGGGGTTGAACACTGTTGGATTAATGACGTCATTGTTTCTTGTTCAACTTATGTTCATCATTCAAACTTTTACCACAACAGAAGATGGAGCTGCATGTACAGTGTCTGGTATACTGATGCACGTGCTGTGGCTCGTGTACCTCGCCTGGACTGGGGTGGGGACGTTCCATATGTATAGACTGTTTGTATCCGATGACTATTTCAGTGACGATGCTAGGCGGTACACAACCTTACGCCGTTACGCTTCATTTACAGTGTGTTTCGCGCTGGGAATAGTAACATTGAATGTAGTACTCACGGCAGTCATAAGTGAATCTATCGGATATGGCGGGAATATTTGCTTCATATCCTCCCTTACCGGGAAAGTATTGTCATTCATTGTTCCAGTGATAATCATTTTCATATTGAATACAGTATTTTTTGTCGTGACCTACCGCTACATTAAAGACCAAACATTGAAATGTAAAAAAGTGTTGAAAGACACAACAGTTGCTAAAGATGGCCGATCTTCATTACAGGTGTTTCTCAAGATGTTTGTACTTAGTGGATTTACGTGGACTTTACAGCTCATCGATGGGTTCCTTCCACTGACAGTATTTACATTTATCGTGACATTCCTGAATGCTTCCCAGGGCGTTTTGATATTGTACGTACACCGTAAAAGTTTCAAAATGAAGAGAAACAGACGACGACCAGGATCAACATACAGGGGAAGTACATCTACTGGTGTCCGAGGCACAACCACCAACTCTGCATCGACTAGAAACACCAGCTCTTACGTGAATACAGTTACTGAATCATTTCAAAATGAAGGGTTTGATTCTGTCGAAGACGTACGTAAACCGCGTCTGTCTTCTCGGCCTAGCATTGTATCTGTCACGTCCACCAGTAAGATTATATACCACGCTGACGACGCAGTCGAATGCCACTCCATTACCGAGGACACAAATGAATGCGACTCTATTGGAAACGCCACAGCTGCGAGTGACGATATCGGCAATGATAGAACTGTATGTGACTGCATCGTCCACGAACAATATGTGAAACACCCCATCGGTGATACAGGCGTTGGAGGTGCCTCCGAATGTGGCAACAACAAAGCTGAATGTGAATCAATCGAGAGTGATGATGAAAATGTGAAAAATTCCATCAGTTACGAAAATAATGACTGTAACTCCGTGGAAAACATCATCATCTCTAAGGTTACTGAAGGTGATCTATCGACGAGCATACACGACCAGGTGTCCACCGAGGCCTAAAGACTTTGTAATAAAACGTCCTTCTGTCGGATCAGAGTTACACCGATAGAGACTAGTGATAGAAGGTCACTGTACCGGACCAGGATTACAATGAGGCCTAGATGAAGGCTTCGTGCAAAAATGTTACTGTACCGGACCAGGATTACACCGAGGCCTAGATAAAGACTTAGTGCAAAAATGTCACTGTACCGGACCAGGATGACACTGAGGCCTAGATAAAGACTTAGTGCAAAAATGTCACTCGAACCGACCAGGATTACACTGAGGCCTAGATAAAGACTTAGTGCAAAAATGTCACTCGAACCGACCAGGATTACACTGAGGCCTAGATAAAGACTTTGTGCAAAAATGTCACTCGAACCGACCAGGATTACACCGAGGCCTAGGTAAAGACTTTGTGCAAAAATGTCACTCAAACCGACCAGGATTACACAGAGGCCTAGATAAAGACTTAGTGCAAAAATGTCACTCGAACCGACCAGGATTACACAGAGGCCTAGATAAAGACTTAGTGCAAAATGTCACTCGAACCGACCAGGATTACACCGAGGCCTAGATAAAGACTTTGTGCAAAAATGTCACTCAAACCGACCAGGATTACACAGAGGCCTAGATAAAGACTTTGTGATAAATTGTCACTAGAACCGACCAGGATTACACTGAGGCCTAAATAAAAAACCTTTTTGATAAAATGTCACTCGAACCGACCAGGATTACGCTGATAGGGACTAAATAACACTGAGGCCTAGATAGACAATATGAAAACACTGGCGGTCCCGTCGATGTGGCGATGTGTTTGAGATATCAAACTATTTTTAAGAGGTAATAAACAGCTTATTATGTTAATGATAAAGTATATTAGGATATGGTTCGGCGATGTTAAGTTGTCGCCCATTTTGATTTTCGTAATCCTCAATAAGGACGATTTAATTGATACTGTGGATAGTTTTACACATTTGATGTACTACGCATGCGCTGTATTATTTCCGTAGTAAAAGACGAAACTAGCATTGAGTGATGAGGTTTTACCGGTGAAGGGCGAATATCTTTATGGTAATCAGTTGTACTTTTGCATTGCTATCTTGTGTTATATAAAATGAACCCAGCTCAGATAATTTGTGTCTATACATTGTTACTCAAATTCATAACCAAGCGAAATTAAACAGACATGGCAGAGATTCCTAATAAGGCACGTGTTTATACAGGAACGTTTACACTTTCAGATGTCTTTTGAGTTTAGGGAAGATTTCTGTTTGGAATATATTTGTTTATAAATAATATCTAATAATTTTGATTCATGACAGTTACTTTTTTTTTCATTACTTTTTAAAAGCAGACAGCATTGTATCATGTCCATATATGTTTATATTATCAAAATATTTTCCGTTGTATATGATATCATAATTAAGCATAATTATTCATTTTTTGTGTAGGAAGAAATTCCTTATTCAAGTTATTACTTTACACACTGTCATGGAATGTCATTCAGTTCATATAATCTGCAAGGTGTTCACTGTATGAAGGATTTGTCTGATTTATAAAAGACATGATAGGTCATTGTTCTTTATGTTTCCCTGTTTGTGTTGAAGCACCCCAGGTCTGTGATGTACAAGTTGATATTAATTTCAGTTGAATTAAGCTACAGAAAATTAATGATATTAACTCAAAGATGTTTTTTCCAATCTCAAAATGAAACAAGTCTGTTGTTCTATGGTCTGTATCTATTAAACCATTATTGTGCTAAAACTCAGATATTGTTTGTTCAAGCCTGAGTCTTTGTTCCGGTGGCTTATCATCATCATCATCATCATCATCATCATCATCATCACAGTTTAACAAATGATTTCCCGACTCTGTAGTAAATCAAAAACAAATACCGTTTTCAATGTTCCACTTACAGTTAAATTGTCATGATTTCTGTGAGTTGAAAAAAAAAAAAAAGTTTATGAATAAAACCGCTGTTTATTTAATATATAAAAGGAAGTTGGTTTGAGCGCACGAAATTTATTCTTCCGGAATGGAATGCTTTATAGAATACAAGTACATAACTTGAATCGAATTATGTGCTTAAATCTATTTATATTACTAATGCAAAGTTACCAAATTAAAATTAATCAATTATTTGATGATTTAAGATCTATCCTAGGACATATTGAGTACTATTTCGTTGTTACTTGGATATGTTTATGAACTATTTTTTTTAATAAAACCGCTGTTTATTTGATATATATAATGCCTCATGAATATATACCAGTTTAAGCAATACTGTCCATGTTATACTAATACAGACCCTGTTATTGATTACAGACCCTAGTTTTGATTACAGACCCTAGTTTTGAATACAGACCCTGGTTTTTGATACAGACCCTAGTTTTGAATACAGACCCTAGTTTTGAATACAGACCCTAGTTTTGAATACAGACTCAGTTTTGAATACAGATCCTAGTTTTGGATACAGACCCTGTTATTGAATACAGACCCTTGTTTTGGATACAGACCCTAGCTTTGGATACAGACCCTTATTTTGAATACAGACCCTAGTTTTGGATACAGACCCTAGTTTTATGAACACTCCCTGTATAATGAATACATACCTTGTTATTGAATACAGACCCTTATTTTGAATACAGACCCTAGTTTTGGATACAGACCCTTATTTTGAATATAGACCCTAGTTTTGGATACAGACCCTAGTTTTGGATACATACCATAATTTTAATAACACTCCCTATATAATGAATACATACCTGCTATTGGATACAGACCCTTATTTTGGATACAGACCCTTATTTTGGATACAGACCCTAGTTTTGGATACAGTCCCTAGTTTTGGATATACACCATAGTTTTGGATACATACCATTATTTTAATAACACTACCTATATAATGAATACATACCTGCTATTGGATACGGACCCTTATTTTGGATACAGACCCTTATTTTGGATACAGACCCTTATTTTGGATACAGACCCTAGTTTTGGATACATACCCTAGTTTTGGATACATACCATAATTTTAATAACACTTCCTATATAATGAATACATACCTGCTATTGAATACAGACCCTTATTTTATATACAGACCCTAGTTTTGGATACAGGCCCTAGTTTTGGATACAGACCCTTATTTTGAATATAGACCCTAGTTTTGGATACAGACCCTAGTTTTGGATATACACCATAGTTTTGGATACATACCATTATTTTAATAACACTACCTATATAATGAATACATACCTGCTATTGGATACAGACCCTTATTTTGGATACAGACCCTAGTTTTGGATACAGACCCTAGTTTTGGACAATACCCTGTTTTGGATACAAACCTTAGTTTGGATACAGACCCTAGTTTTGGATACAGACCCTAGTTTTGGATACAGACCCTAGTTTTGGATACAGACCCTTATTTTTGATACAGACCCTAGTTTTGGATACAGACCCTAGTTTTGGATACAGACCCTAGTTTTGGATACAGACCCTAATTTTGGATACAGACCATAATTTTAATAACACTCCCTATATAATGAATACATACCTGNGACATACCCTGTTTTGGATACAGACCCTAGTTTTGGATACAGACCGTTATTTTGGATAGAGACCCTAGTTGTGGATACATACCCTGTTTTGGATACAGACCCTAGTTTTGGATACAGACCCTAATGTTATGAACACTGTATAATGAATACAGACCCTGTTTTATGAACATAGACCCAGTTTAATTAATGCAGACCATGTGTCATGAACATATATTTAAATACATATCATTACCTAAATATTACCATGTTTTATATGTTGTATTTGTTAATACTAACATCCTATAATATCTGTACGGATTTACTAATACAGACCATGGTATATGAATGTAGACGCTGTGGTATTAATACCGACAACGCTAAAGGAGTTTAAATCCTGCTTTATGAATAATGACGCTGTTTTATGAGTACATGAATACAGACGATTTCTTTTTAATATAAACATGTATCAAGAACAGCATCCATGATTACCTAATACAGACCCTGATTTTCACGGAGAATTACAGAACCTTCATGTTTTCTCTTATTTTTTTCCTAACGATTCGAAAACACGTTGAATTAAAACATTAAGCAATCATTATATATCTGCTGCCCTCACTGCTACACCTGGAACTATATTTTGATATGCACTACGAACTATGTTTTTGTTTCCTAACGTTTGGGTCTCCCCCGACCTAACGTTTGGGTCTCCCCCGACCCAACGTTTTATTTCACGACACTAGGTTTACTTTATGTTTATGTTAGCCTATAGCCAGACAAAACAAAAGAGATTTGGAGCCAAGATTATTATCTGATTTTATCTTTATAAAGGGATCGGCTGTCTGTAATGCTAAAACAGTATATACTTTCAGGAAGATAAACGTAAAACTGTTATATAATTATTGTTTCATGATTTAGTATGTAGCTCAAGGTATGTTCTCATATATGATTATGAACTAATAAGTTTTTGTCGATCGTCGGTATTGACAACTGGATACTTACCAAATAGTGTGTGTTATATTTAGTAACAGGAAGTACCTGTTTACAGGATAGGTACCCCACGTACATGTACTTTGGTCGAAGTGAAATAAGGAGTTGTCATGCAGCGTTTCTATTGTTATATAAGGCTTGTAGGTAACAATTTCCCATGATTCTATTACATATCATTTATTTCCTTGAAGGTTTCGTGTTAATATAGGCTGGGAATAATAGTCAGGTTGTGTCCATGTCTCATGGAACACGGGGCTATCCATTATATATAAATATATTAATATAACGTGTTACTATTTCAAAATGTTATTATTTGACCGTTTATTTCCGTGGTGGTGATTATCAGTAATCATCTTAATTATTACATTTTCCCCCCATATTTAACATTTTAACTAAGGTGTTTTTAACATCAAATGTTTTCAAATTGATCACATGATATTATTTGTTGTGCTAATCTACCTGTGTTAATGTATTGGTTGTTTTGTTATGGTGGGTCTCCTTCTTGCTTCATAAACATTCAGAAACAGTCGAACAACAAAATTTGGCACATGTCATTAAAAAAAAAAAAAGGTGACCTGCTCAGTCGAGTACTATTTTTATCATTGGACAAAGCACATACAATACATGACCAATAACAACAGGGCCCATTTATTTCATGCATGAGACCACATAGTCTTAGAGTTTAATTCCAAATCTGTCCAACTATTTCACTCGGAACGCAGTTACGTGACGAAATGCCTACCTTAAGATATGACACCTTATATAATATTGAACGTACGACACGGCACTGAGTTTATTCAGATTTCAGTCTGGGATGTTGACTGTGAGGCGGCTATATTGTTAATGTTATTCAAAAATATGTTGTGGTTTTTATTATTAATTATTTCAATGAACTTATTTTCTCCCCACAATTATCAAGATGGACGTCGTTTCTTTAAAATCTCCATGTTGAGCAATGGATATAATTTGAGTGTCATGAAAGACGAAATTTCCGATTCCCACTATCATTTATATTTTTATATAAAACCGTATAATCGGGGGGTTTCTTCTGTGAATTCTGCTCAGGGGGAAATCAACACTGAGGATCTATATCTTTGCTTTTTCTTGCCATTCTA